TCCTGAAGGGGTTGCAAACCTCCCTAAAGCAGGCGGGCCAGGCCCTCAGGACACCTGAGCAGGTGCAGGCGCAGGCGCAGGGAGGCCCAGGGACAAGTGGGCTGAGGGAAGGGCCAGCCCTCGGTGCTCCTGCAAGAGGCCATTCTACAGGCGCCGGGCAGGGCCAAGGGCCTCAGGAAGGCCAGGGCGCCCGACCCGCCAGAGACAGAGCCCCCACCAGCCAGGCCCGCCCACCCAGGGCCCTCCCCCCGCCCCCGCCAGTCCCACTGCCCACCCCACACAACTGAGGTGTCGAGTCACTTCGTGCCCCACTCAGGCCCCGCGTCGCAGCCGGAACCCTGAGCTCTCCCTGCTGGCGCCTCGCCCTCCACCCCGGCTTCTCCAGCTGGGGGTGCGCTCCTCTGAGGGCCGCGCGCCCACTGTCTGCTGTCACTCGTGCTCCTGACCTCGGGGAGGCAGGGAGACCTCACCCTCCAGCGAGGACGTGAAGAGACACCTTACACCACAGTTGGTTTTCCTCTGGACAATGGGGACCGGAGAGACCCGAGACCCTACAGTCCTGTCTTCCCTGAGGCTGGGAGGGCCTCAGCCATTAACTGCCACTGCCCCAGAGCCCGAGATGCTGGGCACGGAGCCAGGGTGTGGAGGGCAGCTTCCCCAAGAACCCTGCAGGACCCTGGCCTGGTCTCAGGTGGCCAGCGGTTGGCGGGGCCACAGTCCTAAGCTGACCACCTGGGGGACAGGGCACTCCAGGTCAGGCCCAGCCCTGGGCCTCTGCACTCCCCAAGGGGAGCCCAGTGCAGGGGTGGGGAGAGCTTGCCTAGGGGTGTCTGTGGGCTCAGTGCCCTTTCTGCCCAAAGTACGTCCTGTGTGGAGGGGCACTGGGGCTCCTGGGACCACTGAGCAGGGGTCCTGGGAGCTGACCCTGGCCGCCTTCCTCGAGCCGAGTGGGGCGCACTGTCCTGAGTTGGAACGTGAGCCCCAAGCCTTTCTGGTCATGTCCGGGTCGGCCGGTTGACTGTGCTTCACTCGTGAGTCCGGCCAGGCAGCAGGGGCCTGAGTCTCCACACACTTGCCCCATAGGAGGGGCTGAGGCGGTTGGCCGGTGGGCGAGGCGTGGAGCGGGGAGGGCTGGGGGCAGAGTCCCTCTGCCAAGGACTAAGCGCTCTGGGCTGGGAAGTGCTCCTCTGACCACCAAGGCCGTGTGGGTGAGTGCAAGGCGATGCCCTTGGGAAAAGCCGCCAGCTCCTCCTGGGATGAGGCCTGGGCAGCAGGTGGGCAGGGATGCAGAGCTGGGGGGCACCCAGCCTCCTGACCACAGCTGACACCCTGAGGCCCCACCCCTCCCAGGGGCCTGCAGACACAGCCTCACACACGGAGTCCAAGTCCGGGAGCCAGAGGCCTGGGTAGGGGCTGCGGCTCAGAGTCCCCCTGTGGGCTGAACTGCAGGGGCGGGGCCTCCCGGGGAGGAGCCAGGAGCTGCCCGGTCCATTGAGACAGGAGCCAAACAGAAAGGAACCAACTCTTATTCGCTTGTTGCAACAGCAGAGCGAGAGGCAGGGAGGGCTGCGCTGCGCCCTGCACCACCGGGAAGGCACAGGCCGGGGGGCAGCGCGAGGCCGTCCCACCGAAGGGGAGCCCACAAAAGGCTCCTGTCTCCTGGACTTGCAGCCGGGAGAGTCCAGGACTGAGGGCTGAGGCAGAGTGGAGGGGTGTCTTCAAGGTCCCCAGGAAGGGGTCTGGCTGAGGAGCCCGAGAGGGGCCTGCCCGCGGGGTCCCCCAACACGTAACCTCCACATGGAGACGCCCAGAGCATGGCTGGCTGGGGCCTCAGCCCTCGAGCGCCACTGCCCCGGAGACCGAGATGCCCTGCTGGGCACGGAGCCAGGTGCGGAGGGCCGCTCCCCGCAGGAACCCTGCAGGGAAAGCCTCGGGGAGCCCACTCCTCAGGGCCCGGTCACCTGGGCCTGCGGCCTGGCTACGGGGAGTCAGTTGAGGCCAGGAGGCCGCAGGCTTCATCCGAGAGCCACCCCCTGAGTCAGGGGTCGAGGGTCACTTAGAGGTGAGGTCACAGGACACCAGTCCGTTTCCGGGTAGAGAAGGCAGTGGATGGACTTAAACCTGAGAAAGGGGACGAGGTGTCAGGGTCGAGGGAAGGGCAGCTGGCTCAGAGCTCCTCCCCAGGCCCACGGCCACGGCCCACTCACCGCGTGGGGTCCTGCTGCAGGCTGAAGCCTCCGGCCACGCTCACCACATTCCCGGGGTTCTCAGGACCCCCGTAGCTCAAGGTCACCTGGGAGGGGAGGACTTACTCTCCAGACATCCCCTCCAGGGTGCCCACCCGCCTCAGGGTCTGGGCAGGAGGCCGCTTGGTCCCCGGGCCTCGGGGGCAGGTCTGAGGGCACTGAGGGTGCCAGGCTGAGCGGTGCGGCTGGAGGATAGCTGGTGTCCCTGCCCCAAGCCATGTGCTGTCCCAGGGACCTGGCCTGTGACTCCCATCACCACCCAGACCACTGCCCGCTGCCCCGCGGCCCCGTCACCAGGGAAGGCAGTGGCTGCCCCTTGCAAACGAGCCCCCACAGGAAACGGGTGCCCCACCACCGCTGGACCCACCTGGCCACTCCCCCCTCCCTCCCCAGCCCTCGCTCCGCTGGGACAGCTTCTCGGCCAGGCCCTCCGACACCCGCCGAGGCAGGGGACCCGGCCCACCTGCTGGAGCACAGAGTGCGGCGGCAGCCTCTGCAGGTTCTCCAGGTGGGAGTGGAACAGCGGGCAGTGCCGCAGGCGCGCACCCAGCAGCCCCTCCACGATGTAGCCCACCGTGCAGTCGTCTGGCAGCCGCACCCGCTCGGCCGTGCTCATGAAGCTGCCCAGGCTGGGGGCAGGGGGGGCGGGGCGGTCAGCGCTGCCCGCCCTCAGCACCACCTCCCCGGGCAGCAGGCGCCCCCGCGGCCCCTCACCTGGCCCACGGGCTCATCTTGAGGGCAAGGCCTCTGCTGAGGCAGAACCCGGCCCCACCGGTCGCGAACCAGAACTTGACCGTGGTCACCTGGGGAGGAGGGAGCTGCCAGTCAGAGCGAGAGCTCGTCACCCGTCTCTTCGCCGGGACACCCGGGTGTCAGCACAAGCTGCCCCTCAGCAGCGCCTGGGCCAGGCAGCAGGAGCTCCCGGGCACGGGAACAGGGCTGTGGCCGCCTGGGTGCCTGGCCCCAGCGCCTCCCACAGAAGCTCCTGGCCGCCCGCTCCTGGCCCTGCCCCTCCCGGCCCCAGTGCTCACCGTCCCCCCTCCTAGGACCCTCTCGGTGGCCTCGATGGGGTGGTCCAGGCTGGGCCGCCCCAGGTAGACGTCCTGGCTGGGCGAGAAGGTGGACAGCAGCTGCATCAGGCCCTCGGGGTTCACGTAGTTGTCGTCGTCCACGTGGCAGAACCACCTGCGGGGGGGCAGTCTCAGCAGCCGGCCAGTGGGCCCGGGGCTCCCCGAGGGCGAGGGCGCGGCCACCACACACTTGCGTCCGGACGCGATGAACTGGTCGTACTCCACCGCCATCTTGCAGCACAGCGCCTGGCGGGTGTGCGCGGCCGAGCAGTTGGTGTTGACCACGCGGCTGCCTGGTGGGAGGCAGAGGACGTGTGAGGGCCGGAACCAGGCTCCACGAGGTCAGGGCCAAAGGTGGCTGTCAGGCCCGGGGCTGAGCACCGACCGAGGAACCAGGAGGTCCCGGTTCCATTCGGGTCGGGCACGGCCCGGTTGCCGTCTCCATCCGCAGGGGGGCTGCAGGAGGCGGCCGCCGGTGCCTCTCTCATCGCGGATGTTTCTATCGCTCTCTCCCTCTCCCTCTCGGAAATCAACACGGATGTTTTCTTATTTTAAAAAAGTGGCTGTCGGCAGGTTTGGTGCCTGGCTCTGCTCAAGGACCGCAGGCTGGGTCCAACCACAGCCCTGGAGGGGCCGCACGGGCTGACCCGGCTGCTGACCTGGGCCCGCCTGGCATCCCAGCGTGGACGCCCAACGGGAAATGGGCCGGAGCTGGGACCCCCCCCTGACCGGTGGGGGGCCTGGGAGGGGGGCCTGGGGGAGGCTGTGACCCTGAGCAGGCAGCACCCCGCTGGGGGCGCAGCCGGGGGAGGTGACCCCTGGACCCGGGCAGCTGGGGGGGCACTCACCCGCCTGGAGCTGCAGGTCCGGGTCGTCCCCGTCGGTGAAGATGAAGGTCTGGGGGGAGAGCAGCTGTGAGGCGCAGGGATCCTGGCCCCGGGGATGGAGGGGACTGCGGGGGGGGCCTCCGAACCGGGTGCCCAGGCCGGACCTGGGCGGGACGGGGGAGGGGGGGTCCGGCGGGGAGACGGGGTGCCCGGCTCCGCCCGTGCCGTCCAAACCGGCACTCACGGAAGTTTCCCCGGCCTCGCCCCGTGCCCGCCGGGAGGGGACCCCAAGTCTGGAGCGCAGGAGCGGCCGCAGGGGGGCCGCTGGGCCGCGGCGCGGGCGGGGGGCGGGCGCACCTGCGGGCGGGCGCGGGAGATCCAGGTGCGCAGCAGCAGCCGCAGGCGCGGCCCGTGGTTCCTGCGCGTCGTCTTGACCGCGATGAAGACGTCGTCGGGCCGCAGGCGGGGCGCGCGGGGGCCGGGGGCGGGCGCCGACGGGGGCGCGCGGGCCGGGGCGGGCGCCGACGGGGGCGAGCGGGCGAGGCGGGCACGCGGGCAGCGGCAGCAGCAGCAGCGCGGCCAGGGCGGCGGCCAGCGCGAGGCAGGCCCGGCACAGCGCCCCCCGCGCGCGGCTCATACGGCCGCCGACCCGCCGGCAGCGCCCGGGCCAGGAGCGCCGCGGCCCCTTTAAGAGCCGCCCCGCCCGCGCCGCGACCCGGAAGCGGAGGCCGCGCTGACCCGGAAGTAGACGGCGCACCGCGGCGGGCTGGGCCAAGATGCCGCTGCCGGTTCAGGTGTTTAACTTACAGGTAACGAGCCGCGGCCCGCGGCCCCTTCGCGCCCCAGCCGCCGGGCCGGAGCCGAGGCCGAGGCCGGCCGAGCGGCCCGCGCGTCCGCCCCCGCCCCGCAGTCTGGTCCCGCGCGTCGGGCGGGTCCGCGGCGCTCACGCTCTCCCCCCGCGGTCGCCTGCCCGCTCGCTCCGTGTCGGGGGCGGGGGTGCAGGCATCGGGACAGGATGCGGGGGGGCCCGCGCCCCGCCCCTCGCGGTGGGCCGGGCGGCTTCCTGCCGGGCACGGCCGGGGACTGCGGCCTGAGCGCCAGCCTGTCGGCCTGGACGCTGCTCCACGAGGTACCGTCGGGGCTCGGGCCCGGCCGGAGGCAGCACCGGCCGCTCGGGACGCTCCCGGGTGGAGGTCGCGCGGAGGAGGCTGCGCCGGATGGTGGCGGGGTCGCCCCGCTCCGAGGGGGCTTCGCATCGCCCTGCGAGGAGCCCTCCTGACGGCGGTGCCGAGCCGGGGCGGGAGGCGGGCAGCGTGGGCTCCGGGCACAGGGAGGGACGCCCGCCCGCCCCGGGCAGCTCTGGACCGAGGTGACCGGCGCCTGTTGCAGGGGGCGGTGGAGCCCATGCAGATTGACGTGGACCCGCAGGAGGACCCGCAGAACGCGCCCGATGTCAACTACGTGGTGGAGAACCCCACCCTGGTAGGAGCTCCGGGGCGCAGCGCTGCTGGGTCCGGGCCGGGCACCTTGAACCCTCCAGCCAACCTGCTGGGCCCCTGCGCGGCCCTGACGCAGCCCCTCCGCAGGACCTGGAGCAGTACGCCGCCAGCTACAGCGGCCTGATGCGCATCGAGCGGCTGCAGTTCATCGCTGACCACTGCCCCCCGCTGCGGGTGGAGGCCCTGAAGATGGCCCTGTCCTTCGTGCAGAGGACCTTCAACGTGGACGTGTACGAGGAGATCCACCGGAAGCTCTCGGAGGCCACCAGGTGAGCCGGGGCCTGGGAGGAGGTGCCCGCCTGGCTGGGGAGGGGGCACTCCTGTGGCTGCAAGGCCAGCCCCACCCCCACGCGGTCACTGCAGCGCAGCCCGCAGCCCGGCCTCCTTGGCTGAAGGGGGGGCGGGGGGGGGGGGCAGCGGGGCATCCTGACGCCGCGGCCACAGCACTCTGCCCGTGGGTCTCCCCCGCACTGTCCGTTTCCCCGCCCAGGGGTGCTCCCACCAGAGGCCCTCCTGCTGGCACATCAGCCCTGACGCCCGTCCTCCCTCAGGGACCTGCAGAGCGCCCCGGACGCCATCCCCGAGAGTGGGGTGGAGCCCCCGCCCCTGGACACGGCCTGGGTGGAGGCCACGCGGAAGAAGGCCCTGCTGAAGCTGGAGAAGCTGGACACGGACCTGAAGAACTACAAGGGCAACTCCATCAAGGAGAGCATCAGGTACCCCCGTGGGCCGGGGAGGGTGGCAGGGAGGCCAGGGCCACGCCGGGCGCCAGGCGGTGTGCACTCACCCCCCGGCCCACAGGCGCGGCCACGACGACCTGGGCGACCACTACCTCGACTGTGGGGACCTCAGCAACGCCCTCAAGTGTTACTCCCGGGCCCGGGACTACTGCACGAGCGCCAAGCACGTCATCAACATGTGCCTCAACGTCATCAAGGTGGGCGCAGGCACAGGTGGGGCGGCCACGCCCTGGCGGGGGTACCCCAGGCTGAGTCTGTCCCCGCCCGCCCGCCTTCCAGGTCAGCGTCTACTTGCAGAATTGGTCTCACGTGCTGAGCTACGTCAGCAAGGCCGAGTCCACTCCCGAGATTGCAGAGGTAACCAGGCCTTGCCGCCCTCCCACCACTGCCGCCCCCTGGGCCTGGTCCTCCCGTCTGCCTTGGCCACCTTCCGGCCGGACCGGGGGTCAGCCTGGCCGTCGGGGAGGGTGTGGAGGCACAAGTGGCTCATGTGTGTCGCCTTCCCCTGCAGCAGCGAGGGGAGCGGGACAGCCAGACCCAGGCCATCCTCACCAAGCTGAAGTGTGCTGCAGGTGAGGGCCGGGCGGGCCAGGGGCCCCACCGCGGACCCCGGGCGCCTCCACGGAGGTGGCCTGTGTGCTTGTGCTGCTGTCCTCACAGTTGGGCAGGGCGCTGCCCGGCTCAGGTCCCAGTGCAGGCCAGCGTGACCAGTGGTTAACAGTGCAGACATCGCCTCTGACGGTCGCTGTCAGGGCCAGTCCCCACCTGAGTCCCCTGCAGCCGTGACCAGCTGTGCTGGCTCCCGGGCGCCTGGCCCAGGAGGGGACCACGTGGTGCTATGGCAGTCACTCCCCTCACAGCAGAGCTTCTGGCCCTGAGGCGGAGGCAGCCCTGGAGCCCCCGGTCTCACGCTCCCTCCCTCCCATCAGGGCTGGCGGAGCTGGCTGCGCGCAAGTACAAGCAGGCGGCCAAGTGCTTCCTGCTGGCCTCCTTCGACCACTGCGACTTCCCGGAGGTGAGGGGGCCTCTTGGCAGGAGAGGGCTCCTGGTTGGGCTTTGGTGGGGGGTCTCTCCCAGCAGCATTCGGAGTGGGTGTGGGGGACCAGCCCTGGCTCTGGGCTTTCCTGCCTTTTGTCCAGATGGGCAGTGACCCCTGTCCCTGCCCCTCAGCTGCTGTCTCCCAGCAACGTGGCCGTGTACGGCGGCCTTTGCGCCTTGGCCACCTTCGACCGGCAGGAGCTGCAGCGCAACGTCATCTCCAGCAGGTGGGGGTGCAGGGCCCCGTGTCCCTGGCCACCATCCTCTGGGGGTGCAGGGTAGATGGCGGGGGGAGGGGGAGGCAGGGCGGCTCTGAGAAGGTGGACCCCACAGCTCTTTCAAGCTGTTCCTGGAGCTGGAGCCCCAGGTCCGGGACATCATCTTCAAGTTCTACGAGTCCAAGTATGCCTCGTGCCTGAAGATGCTGGACGAGATGAAGGTGAGGGCTGCCTGGCTAGAGGTGGGGAGGCGGGGGCGGGGGCTGCAGCTCCTGACCCTCTTTCTCGTCAGGACAACCTGCTCTTGGACATGTACCTGGCCCCCCACGTCAGGACCCTGTACACCCAGATCCGCAACCGCGCCCTCATCCAGGTAGGTGGGGGGTGTGGGGCCCAGGCCCAGGTGGGGCTACGGGTGCACCTGGAGGCCGGGCAGCTGACGCCTGCCTGCTCTGCAGTATTTCAGCCCCTACGTGTCGGCCGACATGCGCCGGATGGCCACCGCCTTCAACACCACGGTGGCTGCGCTGGAGGACGAGCTGACACAGCTCATCCTGGAGGGGCTCATCAACGCCCGCATTGACTCCCACAGCAAGGTGCTTCCCCCAGGGCGAGGCGGTCCCAGCGAGGTGGCCCCCCATGGCAAGGCGGGGGGATCTGGTCCCACTGACCCACTGCCGACCCTGCAGATCCTGTACGCGCGCGACGTGGACCAGCGCAGCACCACCTTTGAGAAGTCCCTGCTCATGGGCAAGGAGTTCCAGCGCCGTGCCAAAGCCATGATCCTGCGGGCAGCCGTGCTGCGCAACCAGATCCACGTCAAGGTGAGGGGGGGCGGCACGGGGGCAGGGGCGGCACAGCTGGGCACACACACCTGGGCCCACGGCCTTGTCTCCATTGCAGTCCCCTCCCCGGGAAGGGAGCCAGGGGGAGCTGACGCCGGCCAACAGCCAGTCCCGGATGAGCACCAACATGTGAGGGTGCCTGCCGGGCCCTCCAGGAGGATCTGCACACCCTACCCCCAGCTCCCAGCACTTCTGGAGGAGCCGCTGGGTTCCCGCCCTCGGCCCCCTGCCTGGACGCCTGTGTGACCCCATCTCCGCTTGCCCCACGGAGGAGGGGTGTCTGGAAGGCGAGGCCTCGGCCTCCTGCTCTCACACGTGGGGTTGCAGGTAGTTGTGAACCTTAGTCCATTAAAAGCAGCCTCCCCTGAACTGTTCTGTGTCCGGCTCTTGTGGTTGGGCTGGGGGAGGGCTAGGCCTTGTCCCTGGGCCCCTTGCATCCAGGCAGCAAAGGCCCAGCCTGTGCAAGGCGTGGGTCCAGGCAGGAGGGGCTCCTCCCTCCCAGCGGGGCTGTGGTCGGGGCACGCTGGCCGGGGCAGCACTGGCGCACTCTGTGCACGCACGTCTCTGAAGGTTTATTGTTCACTTTAGGGCACACGGTGCGAGGTCAGGGCAGGTCCAGCCTGGGAACACTCGCCGGGGCCGCGCTCAGCCTGGTGTGGCCGAGGGGTGTGGAGGAGCAGGAGGTTCCCTGAGTGAAGGCGTCTCCTTAGGGGTGGGGGGCTTCGCACAGTCCTGAGCCCGGAGGGGCGGGCGGCGGCCTCTGGCGGCCTTCAGGCCAGGGCACTGCCCAGGACCTCCGGGAAGCCGCCTGGGTCCCCGGGCCCTGCCTGCGGGGGCTCCTGCAGCTGGGACTGGGCCCCCTTCCAGGCCAGCGATTTCTCCAGTTTGGTTTTAAAAAGCAATCCGTGACCTGGCAGAGGGGATGGGGGAGGTTTTGGGGCTCAGGAGGTCACAGGTCCCACTGCCCGAGGGGTCGGGGGAGGGAATAAGGGCTCGGTGGCAAGTGCCTCACCTGGGCAGTCCGCAGTCTCTTTGAAAGCTCGCTTCTTGCAGCAGCCCCGGCAGAGGTTAAACACACACCTGTTGCCCTGGACACAGAAAAGCTACTGAGCTGTCAGTGGGCTGTGCTGAGGCCAGGGCCTCCCAGGCCCCCAGCTGTACTCCCTGCAGACAAAGGGTTAGCAGGGAACACTCTGGGCAGCACTGCAGAAAGGGCAGCTCACCTTGGGGTTCCCACACTGGTCGCACTTTGCGTATTTTGCTGGGAAAAGAACACAAGGGGGTCCTGGTGAGCCAGGGGAGCAGCCCCCATGGCCCCACGCAAAGCCTGCGGGCCCCCGTCTGCTGTGGCCGCCGGGCCACTCGGGCAGCCAACATGCAGACTTGGTGCCCAGAACCCCAGGCCCTCGTCCTTCCCCCAAGGGCTCAGACTCTGCGGCCATGGCTAGGTCTCCCAGTCCCTCAGGAAGGCGGTCCCAAGCCCACATCCTCTCCGGGAGCCTCAGGGCGGCAGCTGCCCCAGCTTACGCTTCAGCGAGGGGTCGAAGGTCTTGTGGGGGTTCCTCAGCTGCTTCTTCTGCTTGTTCTTGGACACGACGTCTGCACCGCCCTCCTCCTCCTCCAGGGCCCGCTTACTGCGGGCGCCTGTGTTCTCCTTGCTCCCCTCCTTGGGCCTGGACGGGAAGGGCAGGGGCAGAGCTGAGAGGCCCCACATCCGAGCTCTCAGGCTGCTTGGCTGGGCCAGCGTGGAGCCACGGGCACCGGGACTCTGGGGTCCACCTCTAAGCCTAGGCAGGGCTGTGGCCACGGATGGGGTCAGAGGGAAAAGATATAAAACCTAATCATCCACGAGTAGGGGAGCTGCTGGGCACCTGGGAGGACGGGGCAGAGCGGGCCGGGCCCTCCTGTGCCCTGCCCGACCCGCGCCCGCATGCTCACCCCGGCCGGAAGTAGGGCTGGCAGATCCAGTGGAAGAAAGGCAGGCCGCCCGAGGGCTCCTCCCCCTCCTGCCGCAACATGTCCTCCTGCAAAAGGCCAGGGTCCCTGTCACCAGCCAGTCCCGGAGGCACCGGGCGGCTCCCAGCCCTGCACATGCCTGACACCGCAGCTTCAGCTCCTGGCTCACGGCGGCCACGCCCTCCAGGGTCTTCGCCTTGGCGAGCTCCTCGCGAAGCTGCTGGTGCACCTGCAGCCTGAGACAGATGCCATAAGCGGGCCTGCCCCCCGACCGAGCCCCGGGCCACGGGGAGCTGCCCTCTCCCACCCAGGCTGCCTCCCCGTCACCCAGCCCCTCAAAGCCTGACTTGGTGGCCAACCACCGATACGTTTCTGGAAACCTCGCCTGGAAACCCCGTGCCCAGGTGGGGCTCAGGCTGACGGGTCTGCCTCGGGGGCACTCACGTGTGGTGCCACAGCTTGAAGAGGTGGGCCCGGACGCAGGACAGCGGGCAGGGGTGCTGGCGCACCAGGTCCAGGTACTCCTCAGCCAGCTCCCACACGGCAGGGCTGCGGCCCTCGAACAGCGCGGGGTTGTGCAGGTTGCCCTCTGCGGGAGGGGGAGGGGCTGAGCTCAGGGGGCCCCATCACACCAAGGGCAAGGCTGCTGCCAGCTCAGGGCACGAGGACAGCGCGAGGCCCGAGGCTGTTCAGCTGGGCCGGTGGCGTCACCATGTGGACACTGGACCGTGGGCGGTGGCGCGGCCTTACCTGCACTCATGACCCCCTGCACCCCCGTATCCCGCAGGCAGCGCTCCACGTCCTGCAGGCACTGGATGTTCCCGTTGGCAAACACAGGGATGGCCACGGCCTTCCTGCTGGGGAGCAGGGGGCACTCAGCCGAGGAGACTGGGGGGCCACCCTCAGGGCAGCACCCAGCCCCGATGTATCCCGGTCGCCTAGAGGCCCCACCCCACTCACCGCACGGCCCTGATGTGCTCCCAGGACGCGGCGCCGGACAGAGGCCCCTTCTGCTCCTTGGTGCGCCCGTGCACCGTCAGCAGCTAGGACACAGCAGGGCTGGCTCAGCGCCAGCAGCACGGCTCTCAGTCCCTGCCCCCCAGACCCCGCCTGGGCTGCCCTTGGGGCCGGCTGACGCCCTGCGGTGCGACCAGGGTGCAGGTGAGGAGCCTAGTCCCCGTCAAGGTCACTGTGACTCCTGTCGCCCCCGAGGGTGAGCTCTCCTGGGACACACCTGGGAGCAGGACCCCGGCCCCTCACCTGGCAGCCAGCCTTCTCCAGCATCTGGGCGTACCTCACGGTCTTGTCAATCTCTGGGAAGACCCGGATCTTGCACGTGACCGGGACAGAAAGCTGCTCGTGGGCCCGCTGAACTGCGGAAGGAGGTGGCTTCTGAGAAGCGGGTGCTCGCCCTTGGGAGGTGGTGGGGGCCCACAGCTAAGCCCCCAAAGCAGCACAGGCCCAGTGCAGACGGCTGCTACTTGATGCAGCCGAGAGACCCGCCTCCGCACCCCCAGGGCAGTGGAGGCGCCAGACTGGGCGAGGACCCTGCCCCCTGCATGCGACAGGCCGACAGGCTACAGCCAGGCGAGCGCTGTGGCCACGAGGTCTGCTGGCCACTGTCCTCTCCTTCGCCCAACCACACGCAGCCCGGCACCCACACGCGCCCACTCACTCATTCTCTGGAGCAGGTCCCACTCCTCCTGCAGGAAGGCGCCGTAGTGACCTGCAGTGACAAAGGTGGCTGTCGTCCCCCTCCTCCCGTGTCCACACAGGCTGAGAGCCGACCTGCCAGGCTGGCCCCGCGCTCCCTGCATGGGCTGCGCACCATCTTCTGAGCCCGAGGGCCGGGGGCTCCCCGAGGGGCTGTCTCCAAGGAGACGGCCACTGAGCAGTTTCTCAGCGTCAGACTTGGTGGCTCTGTTTGCCCAGCTGCCCAGGCTCACGGGTGCCAAACGGCAGGCCCGCCCCACAGTCTCTGACCACCAGCAACTCCCCAGGCCCCACTCCAGGGGAACAGCCGCTGGGGCTGCGGCAGCAAAACACATTCATCCAGGGGGAGCCTGTCCACCTCCCAGGCACTTGTGCGAGTGGGGCCGCTGAGAACCCGCAGCCCTGCCCCACCTGGAGCCTCGCCCGGCCCCAGCGACTCACCCCGCTTGGCTATCATCTGGGGGCAGCCCAAGTTCAGGTCGATGGCATCACAGTAGTCCTGCGCCAGGAGCGCCGCCTGGACAAACACCTCCGGGTCGTTGGCACAGAACTGCGGGAGACGGGACCATCACCAGGAACCCGAGCCAGGCCCTGGCCCTTGGCGGCCTACGGGGTTCACCTGGGATCCCAGTGGGGGCGTGTCCAAGGGGCTGACGATAGGCTGGCCTCCTGTCCTAAATGCTTACAAGACGTGAGTTGGGACACACCGCCCCCTCTCCCCCCTCATTGTCCTGGTGAGGGCAGCGTGAGGGCGCCCGGGGGCTCTCCTGGCAGCCAGCTGTCCATTCGCCAAGGTCTGAGCAAGCAGCGCCCCGATGGGGTCGCGCTCTGAGAAAGAGCTGCAGGTGCGCCCGCTGCCACAGCACCGCCCCTCCGCTCCAGTCGGAGCTGAGACCCAGGTGCTCCCGGCGTGCGGCTCAGGTCCCCGCACCTGCACAATGAGGGGCCGGTCCTCGGGGCACACCTCGCAGTACAGGTTCTCCTTCCGGTAGTTGGCGTCGCGGACGAAGACCTGGGCGTGCAGCATGGGCGTGTAGCAGAGCTGGGCCCCGTGGCGGCGACTCAGCAGCCTCCAGGCCAGCTCGCTCTGGTCCACCATGGGGGCCACCACGTGGCGGGCCCCCCCCAGGGTGCGGCTCCAGAACTCGAAGCCCTGCAGCTTTGGCATCTCGTCTCCACTCTGCGGAGGGGGAGGGGGTCAGCGGCCGGAGGGGGAGGGGGTCAGCGGCCGGAGGGGGAGGGGGCGGGCCCGGGGCGGGGGAGGGGGACGTCCCTGGAGACCCGAACCGGGCCCGCCGGTGAGCTCCGGTGCAGCGCCCCCTGCTCCCCCGGCGGGACCACCTCTCCGCACCGGGACCGGGGACCGGGCCCGCTCCTCCCCCGGAGCAGGGCTGCGGCCGCCAGCGCTTTAGTGACCGAGAGCCCAGCGGTGCGTCGGGCGCCTCTGGAAACGGAAACTACACGTAAAAGCCACCTGGGCGCCGCTGTGGTCCCCGAGCGCAGGGCCCGCGGGCCACGGCCAGGACCCCGCGGGAAGCGCACCTGAGGGGCCAAGCTCGGGGCGGGGGCCTCGGGGCGGGGGCCTCGGGGCGGCGTGCGGGGCTCCGGGTTCGCGTAGGGCCGCTGCCACGGGGCCGCAGCCGAGCCCAGGGCTCCGCGCCGGGGCCGCCGGAAGGTGCCTCCGCCAGGGCGGTCCGGGCGGCCCGCGGTGCAGCCGGAAATGCGCCCTCGGGAAACCGAGCCCGGCCGAGGAGAGGCCCGCACGCGAGGAGGGCTGGATCGGGGTCGGAGGTCAGAGGCCGGAGGTCGGCTCGGCCCTGCGCGAGTCCGGTCCGAGCACGTGGTCCCGGATCCTGGGGCCCCTCCTACCTCCGTCTCCCCACCAACTCCTGCGCCCAGGTCCCGCCTCCTCACTCCGCGCCCCCAAAAGCTCAGGCCGCCCAGCCCTGCGCCACGGTCCCTTCCCGGGTCCCTGATGGTCGGAGTCCCCTGCGTGACCGAGGTCAGGGTCAGAGTCAGGGCCAGGGTTAGGGTTAGGGGTCCGGGCCAGGCTTAGGGTTCGGGGTCAGGGTGACAGCGCGGAGGCAGACGCTGGGGCTGGGAATCGGCCTGGAGGTGCCAAGAGGCACAGGACCCCATTGTTCATGGTGTTCTCGGAGGAGCTGCAGGTGGGAGGGTCCCGCAGGCCCGGGCCGGTGTTGCAAGAAGAAAAGCCGCTGTAAAAGGACGAGAGCCCGGTGGCGGCCCAGGGGCTGAGCGGCGACCTGTGAACCAGGAGGTCAGGGTTCGATTGCGGGTCGGGGCCCAGGCCCGGGTGCAGGCTCATCCCCAGTGGGGGGCGTGCAGGAGGCGGCCCATCCGTGGTTCTCTCTCATCATCGTGTTTCTGTCTCCCTCCCTCTGAAATCAGTAAAAATATATTAATTTTATAAAGGTAGGCCCTAACCGGTGTGGCTCAGTGGATAGAGCGTCGGCCTGCGGACTGAAGGGTCCCAGGTTCGATTCCGGTCAAGGGCATGTACCTTGGTTGTCCCGGTAGGAGGTGTGCAGGAGGCGGCTGATCCCTCTCCCTTCCTCTCTGTAAAAAAATCAATAAAATATATTTAAAAAGAAAAAGGTAGCTGTGCCTTGGGGCCTGGATGGGTCCGTTGCTCCGAGAAGACGGTGCGTTTTGAGGACGAAGGACAGGACGTGCTCTGATTTGGTTGCTGTGCCGGCCCCTGGCCCCTGGGGAGTTTGCCTCAGGAATGCTGACCGCTCTCCAGCCCGGGGCGGGCGGAGCTGGGTTTCACACCATTAAACATTAATGGCCTTGTTATGGGAATTCAAGATCCAGGAGGGAGACACAGACCAGACCCTGCAGCCATCCCCGCTCCCCCCTCGCAGCCTCTCCTCCGCATCCCCACGTGAGCAGGTTTTCATGGAGGACCTGCTGCCCCCATGCTGCCTGCGTGACTGGAGTAAACGCTCGTGTAGGCCTCAACCCTGTCTCTGCTACAGTCAAGACAACGGTGGGCACATTGTTACAAGCAGCCATTCCAGGACCCCAGCAGTTGACCAAAGGCATAGATATTTGAGAAACTTTTTTTTTTTTAAGTTACCCAATGCCAGTGAGAACTAAGAACATGGGCGTCTGCAGAGTTTTTTATGGGCTCCTTTCATTTCCTTCCAGGAGGACCGGTCTGGGGACCCACAACTCCTACGTAGAGAGAAGAATGCATGGCCTGGTGTGGGAGGGCGTCTTCATCAAGAACAGATGTGAGCCCAGCCATCACGGCTCAGTGGTTGAGCGTCCACCTATGCACCCGGAGGTCAGCGTTCGATTCTCCATCAGGGCAGACGCCGGGGTGGCAGGCTCGACCCCCAGCAGGCGGCGTGCAGGCGGCAGCCGAGCCAGGATTCTCTCTCATCATTGATGTCTCTCTCCCTCTCCCTTCCTCTCTGAAATCAGTAAAAACATAGTTTTAAAAAATAAAATGGTGCTGGTTTCGGCAGCACAGACACTAAAATGGAAACGGTAGAAAGATTAGTATGGCCTCTTGCAAAGGTGACACACAACTTCGTGAAGCATAAAAAATAAACTAATAAATAAAACCACATAAACTAGGAATAGAGGACCTTTCTAAACATGGCAGAGAATCTACAAAAAAAAAAAAGACACCAAAACCACAATTACTATCACAGGTGATGATGGGCGAAATGCCTTTCCTCCGAGGCCAGGATGCCTGCTCTCGCCAGCCTTCCTCAAAGCAGCGCTGGCAGCTCAGCCAGCTCAATAGGCGAGAAAAGAAAGAAGAGGTGTCTGGACGGGAACAAGGAAAACGCCCCTTTCTGCACATGGTGTGATTGTCTACAGAGAAATCCCTAAGGAACCTAAAAAGAAAACATTCAAACAGCCCAGCCCGACCGAGTCCGGTGAGGTTCGTACACAAACACCCACCGCAGTGTTTAGAGAATAGCTGACTAGAGGGAGGGAGAGGGAGAGAGAAACACTGATGTGATCAGCTGCCTCCCACATGCCCTCCACTGGGGGTCGAGCCCGAAACGAGGGCCTGTGCCCTGACCAGGAATGGAACCGGTGACCTCTTGGCTCCTGGGTCCACTCTCAACCACTGAGAACACTGGCCAGGCCATGATAGATTTTTTTTTTGGTGGAATTTGCCATTCATCTGGAGTTTCTTTTTGTGGAAAAGTTCATTTTTTTTCAATAGATGCAGGGTTATTCTGGCTGTCTACTTCTTCGTCTTGTGTGGGATTTGCTCACTTAACATTTAAGTTGTTTGGCATAAAGTTGTTCATAATAATCCTTGTGTATAATCTTAGTGATTCACCTGTCATTCTCCCCCCCCCCCCCCCATACACCCAAGCTCTCTCTGGCCTAAGGTTTATGAATTATTGGTTCTCACAGAACTTGTGTGTGTGTGTGTGTGTGTACGCATGCGTCCGCCCCAAAACCTGGGAATGAATCTAAGAACTAGTCTTGGTTTCACTCATTTTGTTTTTTACATGGATTTTTACTCTGATGTGTTAGTTCCTCTTGTACTAAGTTTGGGTCTCATTTGGTCTTTTCTTCTTTAGTTTCTGAAGGTAGAATCTGAAGTCACTGATTTGAGAAATGGTTTCTTTTTGACGTTGGCCTTTCCTTCCTGCTATGGATCTCCCCTGAGCACCATGAGCCAAATCCCACATTTTTACAAGTTTCAGTTTAAAACCCTAATTTGCACGCTGATCTCTCCTTTAACCGGAGTTAGAAGTGGTTCCTAAGTGTTCGAGGAGAGTCAAGGGCTTTTTGCCAACGACTCTCATTCCATGCAGTTGCGGTCAGAGAAAATGTGTTATAGGAAGTGAATCCTTTAGAATTTGACTCGTTTTACGACCCAGAACGTGGCCCATCTTGGCCAAGGTTCCCCATGAACTTGCTGGGCAACCTGGTTCCTCGCTCACCGCCTGCTGCTGCCCATCGCGGAGCGGGGGTGGGGGTGGGACCTCCAGCCTCGCCCGTTCCCTTCTGCTTCCGGGAACGCAGAGGTTCGAGGAGCCAGCGTGTCGGACTGTCATCTCGTTGGGTTCACCGTGGCCTTGTCCCTCATGCACTTTTGCTCTGGAACCTCTGATAGGAAGGTCCCAGCTCCAGAAACCCTCACAGCTTTAGCGTGTAGCACACAAATCAGAACCTCCTTCCTTCTGTGGCTGAGCGACAGCCCATCGCGGACCTGCCCACCTGCGGATGGACACCGGCTGCTCCCCCCTTGGCTGTTGGGAAAGCGAAGCTGTGGGCCGAGCCATTTCCGGGTCTATTTGGGCACAAACTGGGAGCGGGGCTGTGGGCTCAGGCAGCAGCTCAGAGCTTTTTAGGAACACGTCAGCGCCCGGCCTGTTGCTGGGTCCCCGACGTCCTTCTAGAAGCCCAGGGGGACCTGCTCCCCACCTGTCTTTTGTCCCCACCTTGCACCCCTCCCAGAGCCCAACTCTGCAGAGCTCACCTCGTCAGGCAGAAACCCCACTCCAGGGCGCCACCTCACCCCTGGCTCAGGGGCTCTCCCTGCCCGTCACCCTCCCTCCAGCCTCCCCTCCGTGCCCATCAGGAGTGCAGGTGTGGCCGTGAGGGTTTGCCATGTGGGTCTCACCCACACGCAGCGACTTCAAAGAGAGACTCTCTTGGAGGGCAGGACGCCTCCACACGTGCCCTGGGGTGCAGACCCGTCTCTCACTTCTGGCAAAAGGTGCGGGGGGGGGGGGGGGGGGGAAGCCCCCCCACAACCGCTGCCTGCCACTCCTAACGGCTGTGTGCCCTGCAGGGGGCGCCAGACTGCCTCGGGGCGCTGGTGCTGGAGAGCACGGAGAGCATGGGGTCCTATGTCCCTGAATCCGTGTAAAAATGAAACAGATCCAGACAGGGTCTTTGAACTGACAATTATAATAAATTTCAAAATCTGAGCAGCAACATGAATGTGTTTCTTGAAAAAAGAACAGGGAACAGGGTGGGTGCCCGGCCGCTGCCCCGCTGCATCCTGGCCCGCGGCTCCCCAGCGGCGCAATAAATAGAATCCAAACCGGGACCCCAAGGACGCGCGGGCTGCACGTGGCGTCGGGGCTCACGGGATCGCGCCCGGCTCGGCCGACTCTTCACAGACCAGGGAGGCCTCCGAGTCGGTGGCGCGGGTCCCGGCCCCGCGCCCACGTGGTGGCGGCCGAGGTGGCCGGGCGGGAGGTGCCCAGGACGGGCGGGCATCAGTCCTACTCCTAGCGGCCCCCGGGGTGCAGGCCGGGCCCAGCGGCAGGACCGGACTGGGCCGGGCCGGGCCGGGCGGCTAGCCCTCCCGCACACTGACGCGCGGCTCGGCCAGGGCGCCGTGGATGATGCCCAGGATGGTCTCCAGGCCGCTGCCCTCCAGCAGCGTGCGGTGGTCGCCCTCGATGATGTGCACCGACACCTTCCCGTCGCACACCTGGGACAGGTTGTAGTCGGCGCCCAGGTCCTCGCCCTGCGCCCCGCCCTTCTTGGCGCGCAGCAGCGTCACGTTGCCATGGTAGGTGGCCCGCGGTGTGTACTGCTCCGCGGCCCGCAGCTTGTGGTAAAAGGAGCGCGCGGCAAAGGTGAGCGCACGGCGGTCCAGGCCCGCGTGGCTCTGCGTGATCATGTCCACGGCGGCCACCACACGCTCCTCCAGGCCCGCGAGGGGCAGCAGCGCCTCCAGCACCTGCAGGATGGATGAGTGGGTCCCGCTGTGGGCCAGCAGACCCCGCCCCCCAGGCACAGACCCCGCCCCCGCCGGGCACAGACCCGTCTGGCCTAGGACCCACCCTGTTGTGCTCCGTGTCCGTGAACTGCTGCACGAAGAAGCACATGGCCGCGGCCTCGGCCTCCCCCTCGCAGCCGGGCGTCAGCCTCGCACGATAGCTCTGCAAGGGGAGGGAGAGGCTGTGTAGGGAGGCGAGGGGGGCACGACCCCGACCGGCTGACCCAGCGCCGCCCTCACCTGTGTGTAGGCCAGCACGTAGGTGTGTGAGCCGTCGAACAGGAAGAGGCTGTTGTGCGCGGGGGCGGGGCCCTGCTGCGCCTGCAGCTGCGAGCACATCTCGAAGGCCACGCAGGCGCCGTAGGAGTAGCCGGCGATGCGGTAGGGCCCCTCGGGCTGCACCTGCCTGATGCACTGGATGTAGTAGGCGGCCAGGCTCTGGATGCTGTCCAGCGGGGCGGCTGCGGGCGGGAGAGCTCCGTGTGGGTGGGAGAGCTCCGTGTGGGTGGGCGCCCCGGCCCCACAGGCACCCCCGCCCAGGGACCCGCACACACCTCGCGTGCACTGCAGGCCGTAGGTGGGGATGCTGAGCTTGGCGGCCAGGCTGTGGAACACGGTGGTGGAGCCCTCGATGGGGTGCACCAGGAACAGGGGCCGCTCGGAGCTCTGCACGGAGTTGAGCCGCGTGAGGGTCGGGCCCTCGGGGTTCACCAGCAGGGTGCTCAGGTTCAGCAGGGCCTGCTGCCGGGCAGGGCTGTTCTCCTTGGGCGTGGAGGCCGCCAGCTCTGTGGGGAGAGATGCCAGGGAGGCCGGCTTCCACCGGTGCCCGCAGATGCACACACACGCCCGTACACGCGCACCCGCGGCTCCGGCTGCTGCTGGGGCTGGGGCTCTGGTCCCACTCAGAGGGGCTGGTCAACAAGCCCGACCTGGCCAGGCTGCCCACAGGCCGCACCGAGACACACGCCCACACCCCACAGGCTGGGCGCGCGACCTCTGACCCGCACGCACCGCTGGCCGGGCTGGCCTGGGAGGACAGGTCCTGCAGCTTCCGCAGCGTGAGCTGCTGGATGTCGCGCATGGACAGCACCAGGTCGTGCTCGCGCTCCAGCGTCTGGCGCACCTCCACGCCCATGAGCGAGTCCAGGCCCAGGTCCCCCAGCGAGCTGTCCAGGTTTACGGCGGCCAAGTCGCGGATGCCTGGGGAGAGGCGCTTGGTTGGCAAGCGGGGAGGGGAGTAGGGCGGGCGCCGCCGCGGCCACGGCGTCTCCCTCGTGAGCAGGCCCCGTGTGGGTGGGAAACTGAGGCGGGCGGCCCCTCACCCAGTATGTGTGCCACGGCCTTCACCAGGTCCTGCTGGCCGTCGCCGTCCCCGCGGGCCGCGGCCTTCTTCTCCGCCAGCACGAAGCTGCTTAGCACGGGGTGGGGCTGGCTCAGGAAGACGTCCAGCACCTCCAGGCAGGAGGCGATGCGCTGGGGCCGCGTCCCCCCGATGACTGAGTCATTGCTGCCCATCGTCTCCAGCACCACGCCTACGTCACCGATGGAGCCCCACTGCACGGCCAGGCCTGCGGGCGGGAGGCGGGGTGGGGTGAGGGCATGTGGGGGGTGGTCAGGGTCAGCTTGGAGCAGGCGGGGCCGTGGGCGGGAGGCGGGGTGGGGTGAGGGCATGTGGGGGGTGGTCAGGGTCAGCATGGAGCAGGCGGGGCCGCAAGCCTACCTGGGAGGCCATCGTGCCTGCGCCTCTCGCAGATGCGCTCCATGGTGGAGTTGGCGAAGCCGTAGTTGGTCTGGCCTGCGTTGCCGCGCCCACAGCTCACCGAGGAGAAGGCCACGAAGTAGTCCAGCTCGGGGCACGCCTCACGGGTCACCCTGTGGGTGCTGGGGTCACTCCCGGGCCAGCTGCCCCTGCCCGGCCCCCTGCTGAACCGGCCCTGCCTCTGTGGAGGCGTGGCTCTGCCCCAAGAGTCCCGGGGCCTGGACCCCAGTCCCTGGAGCACGTACACGGGGAGCGGGGCGTGAGGGCCGGGCGTGGGGAGGGCCGCGCCCACCTGTCCAGGTGCAGGGTGCCGCTGTACTTGGGCTTGCTCACATCCTGGAAGAGCTCGGGCGTCTGATTCTCCAGCATCGCGTCCCTCAGGACCTGGGGAGAGGCACCCTCAGTGCTGCCCCGCGGCCCCCGGCGCCCCGCCCGCCACGGAGCCCACTCACCATGGCCAGGTTGAAGACGCCTCCGACCGGCCCCAGCTGCGCGGCCTCGGCGATGAGGCCCCGGGCCCCGTCCAGGGAGCTGGCGTTGCTGGTGGACACCAGCACCTGCACACCCTGTCGCCGCCACTCCCGCACCTGCTTGGCCTGGTAGCCTACAGGCGGGGGGCTGGGATCAGGGCTCCAGCCACCTCGCCCGGGGCCTCAGAGCCTGTGAGAGGGCTGACCAGGGAGGGCGCGTCCCCACTGCCCGCCGCCCACCCACCCCAGGCCTTACCCGTGCGGATGCCAGAGCGCGAGGTCAGCACCAGCTTCTGGGCCCCGCGCAGCACCAGCCACTGAGCCAGCTCCAGGCCAAAGCCGCCCAGGCCCCCGGCGATGACGTAGCTCTTGTGGGCCGGGCAGAAGACCTTGGACACGGCGGTCGTCAGGGTGGGCAGGGGCCCCTGAAGCATGGCGTCCGGCTCCTCCTCACGCACCTGCACAAGCAGCACGGCTCACACTCTGCCCGGGGGCCGGGCCGGTGGTGCCCAGGGCCCCCCTCAGCTGCACGGGCGCCCGGGGTCCCCCTCAGCTGCACGGGCGCCCGGGGCCCCTCACCTGCACGAGCGCCCGGGGCCCCCCTCACCTGCACGGGCGCCCGGGGCCCCTCACCTGCACGAGCACTTTGCCGATGTGCTTCCCCTGCGCCATGTAGCGGAAGGCGCCCTCCACCTGGTCCTTGGGGAACACGGTGCAGCGGAGAGGCTGCACCACGCCGTCCCGGATGCCCGCCCGCAGCAGCCCCGCCACCGCCCGCCAGTCGGCGCTGGCCTCCTCGAAGAGGGCGTCCAGCAGGATCCCGTGGAAGGTCACGTTCCTCAGGAAGATGGCCATGCCTGGTGGGCGGGAGTGGGGGGCGGGGCTCGTACTCTCGGCCCCAACGCCCGGGGGACCCCACCCCACCGGCCCCGGCCCCACCGCCTGCTGCCGGGCCTCACCCAGGGGGTGGTTGTTGAAAAGGTCGAATTTGCCGATTTCCAGGAAGCGGCCGTGCTGGGCCAGGCACCGCACGCTGGCCTGCAGCTTCTCCTCTGCCAGCGAGTTCAGGACCAGGTCCACACCTGGGGGAGAGGAGTCCCACGGTCACCCCACTGCTGGGCACAGCCAGTCCGGAGGCCAGACCCCGGCCTTGCCTGGCCTCCTTCTCCTGCTCAGCCCGCAGGGCAGGGTGGGCCGGGGGAGGGGCGGGAGTGGGGGTGCCGGGCAGGGGGCGGTGCTGGGGTTCGGGAGCCACGCACCCTTCCCCGCCGTGTGCCGGAGCACGTGCTGCTCGAAGGACGTGTCCCTGGAGTTGGCGAAGCTGGTGTCATCGAGCTGGGGGAACCTGGCCTGGAGGTATGCCCGCTTCTCCGCTGACCCTGGGGGGAGACGCGTGCGGTGAGCTGGCTGCGGGCGGGAGGGGTGGCCGGGCGGGAGGAAGGGCAGCCGGGCGGGAGGGGCGGCAGCTCACCCACGGTGGTGAAGACGCGGCAGCCCAGGCTGAGGGCGATGGCGATGGCCGCCTGGCCCACGCCACCCGAGCCCGAGTGGATGAGCACCGTCTCCCCGCGCTGCACGCGCCCGCGCACCACCAGCGAGTAGTAGGCCGTCGTGTAGACCACGGGCACCGAGGCCGCCTCCTTCAGGGTCCTGCCGGCACAGGGACGGGTCACTCAGGCCCCACCAGCCACGTCTGTGTCGGGCCTGGGCTCCCGGCCGCTGACTCACCAGTTGGAGGGCACGTCCCACAGGAAGTCCTGGGACAGCAGGACGGAGGTGGCCAGGCCTTCGGCGGGCACCAGCCCCATCACGCGCTTGCCGCTGGGGTCTCGGCCAGAGAACTCCATGCCCAGCATGCAGTCCCGGGCTGCCCACTTCCCTGGGGGCAGAGGGCGGGTCAGCCCACGGCTTCCCTCCAAAGGAGCGCTTTGGGCGGGGACCCTTTGCCCCCAGGGCCTGCACCTGCCCCGCCCCGCTCCGCCCGCACCTGGGATGGCGTCAGGCGACAGCTTGCCCGTGGCCAGCATGATGTCCCGGAAGTTAAGGGAGGCGTAGTAGACGGTGCAGAGCTGGACGCCGGGGCTGGGGGCCGGGGCGTGGCGCAACGGGGAGCAGACCCAGCGGATGGAGGACAGGTCCCCCCGGGTGAGGACGTTCACGAAGGCGTGCTCCGTCTGCTCCTCCGGCGGGCCTGGGGCCACAGAGGCAGGGCTGCTAGGGCCCAGCCGGGCGGGGATCCCCAGCCCCTCCTCACCCACCCAGCTGCCGGCGAGGGCCTGGCGGGGGCTCACCGTGCTCCAGCAGGAAGTGGCGGAAGGCCCCCCAGGCCCCGTCCCGGTGGACGTTCATCACCAGGTCCCCCCGCAGCACCTCCTGAAGCTCCGCGGAGCCGGGGTCCAGCTGGGGGACGGGGGACGCACTGCTGAGGTTGGACACCAGGATGCACCTGTGGGCACCAGACCAGTGATGGGAGGGAGGTGATGGGCAGGAGGGGGGCTGGGGGGGGGGGGCAGGCGGGGACGGGCACAGCTCAGGGCTCTCACCGGACCCGGTGGCCGCCGGGCTCCTTCCGCAGGCAGTTGACCAGGCCCACGACGCCCGAGGTGGCGCAGCCGCTGGCCGTCAGCCACACCGGCCGGGAGGAGGCGTCGGCCAGAATGTCCTGCAGGACGAGGTGAGGGTTGGTCTGTGGGAGGGTCCCTGGGCAGCAGGCGTGGGGCTGGGGCGGGGGCACTGACCTTGAGCGAGTCCACCCACTGGAAGCTGGCGTCCTCCACGGGCAGGAAGATGGGGCTGCCCTGCGGGGCGGGCCGGCGGCACAGGAAGAGCACGGAGCCGTAGAAGGACCTCTTCAGGGCCACCAGGCGCAGGGACGCCCCCGCCAGCAGGCCCTCCCACGCGTCCTGGCCCAGCAGGCCCTGCCGGCCTGGCTGCGGCTCGGGGCAGGTCAGGAAGGACAGCGTCTCCCCGAGGGGGTGCCCTCTGAGCAGCGTGTGCAGGAGCAGGAAGCCCCCCTCCTTGAGGGCGGCGGCCATGTTGCCGAGGGCTGTGGCCGGGTCCCCGAGGGTGGCCAGCGCACAGTTGCACACCAGCAGGTCGGCCGGGCCCAGGCCACTGGGGGCGGGATCCGCGGGGTCCCACTGGCCCTGGGCCACGTCGAGCTGCTGCAGCTTGGCCTGGGCCGACTCCAGGGCCTGGGGGTGGCGGTCGGTGGCCGTGTAGTCCAGCTGCAGCAGGGGCTGGGTGTTGAGCAGCGCCGGGATGCGCGAATAGAGGTGGCCGTCCCCAGCCAGCACCTGGTGGGACAAAGGCCTGGATGGGCGGCCCTGACCCCCCGTCTGTAGCGCCCGTGTCCCTCACTCCCCGCCGCGGGAGCAGTGGACACGTGTGCAGTCTCATGCTGGTGCTCACGCCGGCTGGGCCCTGGCCCTGGTGTGGGTCTGCCCAGCTCGGCGCCCGTGCTGACCGCCCTGCCCAGCACCTACCTCCACCACCTTCATGCGGAGGCCGGTCACGTTCTCCAGGGCAGTGTCCACGCAGGCCTTGAGAGCCGGGGAGTCGAGGAGGCCGCTGAGCAGCGGGTCCTCGGGCAGCTCCGGCCGCGCCTGCGCCAGCACCCGGCCCAGCTCTGGCTGCAGGTTCCCGTTGAGCTGGCAGGCGGACGCCAGCAGCCGAGCCAGGCCCTGCTGCGGGGGCTTCCGCGGGGCCTGCGCCCCATCCAGCCCGGGCACCACCATTTTCAGACCCTCCTGGGCCACCTTGGCCTGCAGCACCTGTGCCAACCCTGGGGGGGATGGGCATTGGGGGCCTCAGATGGGCGGGTCCTGGCCCCCGGGCAGCAGGTATCTGACTGGAGCAGGGACCTGGGGGCCGTCCTCAGGGCCCACTGCCCAGCCCACTGGACACGCAGACAGATGGAAGGACGAGTGGGCAGCCTGGCGGTCCAGGGCTCACAAGTGGCGCCGACCACAGAGGGCCCCAGGACAGAAGCTGCTGTGCCCCAACAGGGCGCCGCCCACAAAGGACAGGTCTACCGACAGCGAGGTCAGTGCCCGCGGTCCCAGCTGTTGCCAGTGTGAGGAGGGCTCGCCTGTGCTGGTGGGTGGGCCCGTGAAGACTGGGGAGGCAAAGCTAGACCAGGTCCCAGCGATGGGCTGTGGGGGGGTGGGGATGAACTCCCCGTCACCAGGGGTGTGTAACAGGCTAGTGCCTGGGGCTGGGAGGGCCTCACCGCTGCACAGCTGCAGCTCTTCCTGCAGGGCCGCGCTGTCCGCCAGGCACCCGCCCTCCACGTGCGGCGTGAAGCAGAACTTCTCCAGGATGGGCGTGTGCTGTTCCTGTTGCCGCCGCGGGGCCACCGAAGCGTGCAGGCCTGAGATGAGGACGCCCCCAGCCACCGTGCTGTTCAGAGAGCTGCTCACCACCACGCGAACCGCTGTGAGGACACAGAGTGTGGGCGGTGCGGGGCCCGGGGCGCAGCGGGCACGGGTGCGGGGCCTGGGGCGCAGCGGGCACAGGGGTGCGGGGCCCGGGGCGCAGCGGGCACAGGGGTGCGGGGCCCGGGGCGCAGCGGGCACAGGGGTGCGGGGCCCGGGGCGCAGCGGGCACAGGGGTGCGGGGCCCGGGGCGCAGCGGGCACAGGGGTGCGGGGCCCGGGGTGCAGCGGGCACAGGGGTGCGGGGCCCGGGGCGCAGCGGGCACAGGGGTGCGGGGCCTGGGGCGCAGCGGGCACGGGTGCGGGGCCTGGGGCGCAGCGGGCATAGGGGTGTGGGGCTGTGCTACCTGGGGTTTCGTCCTGCAGTGTGTGCACCTTGCGCCGGTGGAGGGCGGGGTCGATACGGATAGCGGCGGTGCGGGTGGGCAGGCGCAGGCTGCGCTGGCAGGCACCCAGGATGGACATCTGCAGCATGCTGTCCAGGAAGGTCACCCAGTTGTCCCGCCACAGCAGTTGGCCAGTGTCGCCTGTGGCAGGGGGGCGTCAGCACGAGGGGTCAGTCGCACGCAGCCTCTTCCCGTGCCCTGACCAGGCAGCAGTGGCCCCTCCACCCACCACTCCCCCCACCCCCCTGGCTGGGGCCATGGCAGGCACGTGGCGCCTAGACACTGGGCCCGCCCCCAAGGTGTCCAGGGGGCAGCGTGCCCACCTTCGAGGGAGGCCTCAAGGATGCCCTGGAAGTGGGGGCCGTAGTCGTAGCCCCGCAGCCGCAGCTCCTTGTACACGTCGCCCCGGGACAAGCGGAAGGTGGCCGAGGGATCTGCGGGGTCTGCTGCGTCCAGGCCGTCCTGGCTGTCGAAGAGCCTGGGGTCGGGGTCCTCCCACTGGTACACCGTCCCTGTGGGCGGGGGTGGGGGGCAGTCAGGGGTCTGAGGTCTGGGCAGAGCCGAGTTGGACGCCCTGTGGCCGGGCACCCCGCTCACCGGTCACGACCAGGTTGCCGTTCTGAGACACCTCGAAGGCGTGCGAGGCCTCCAGCAGCCGCACCTCCAGGGACACAGTGCCTGTGGACAGCGGGACCAGGGTGAGCAGCTGGGGCCAGGGGCCAGCACCCCCACGGCTCCTCCTGGCCACCCCGCCTCACCCGTCTTGGGCAGGATGGTGGCCTGGTGCAGCGTCACGTCCTCAAAAGCCACGGGCATCTGCTCCATGTTTTGGTCCAGGGCGCGAGCCAGTGTCCTCCAGACCAGGCTCAGGTAGCCGGTGGCCGGGAAGAGGACGCGGCCGTCAATGCGGTGGTCCACCAGGTAGTGGCTGGGGGACTCGGGGCTGGCGTCTGCAGGGCACAGGCTTCAGTGCCCACCTTGGGAGGGAGAGCTGGAGCCCCTCCCCCGCCCGGCCTCACCCCCGCCCGGCTCACCGATGGTGTAGACAGTAGCTGAGGAGCTGCTGGAGCCGCTGGGGAAGTCCTCGGCGGCAGGCACGTCCCAGGTCTGGCTGTGGTCCCACTTGATGAGGGGGGAGATGAGCGGGGTCCCCCGGGGGGCTGGGAACTCCTCGGGCGGGAACAGGCCATTGGGGTTGATGTCAATGCTGGGGGTGGGGAGTGGGTTAGGGGCGCACCTGGCCCTGGGACCCCCATCACACCCACTGCCAACCACCTCCCCAAAGACTCAGAGACCGAGGTGGGGACCCCCTGGCCCCGCCACCCCTCACAGAGCAGGGGCCCACTGAGGCCCTGGTGACGGGCGCAGACCCACCCCGCCAGGTGCAGGCGGCCCACGCTGCCGAGCAGGAAGCGCAGGTTGTCGGCGTGGTCCTTCTTCATCAGGGGGAGGACGGTGCAGCCGGGCTTCAGGCCCCGCTTCAGCACGGCCTGCGGGGACAGTCGGGCTGGGCCTGACCGCTGCCCTGTGTGCACCCAGACCCGGGACCCCCCCCCGGAGCCCGTGGACCCGCCGGGCGTACCTGCAGCAGCGCGTGGGGGGCGATCTCCAGCACCACGGCGTTCTCCGGCACGTGCCACAGCGCCTCCTGGAACAGCACCGGGCTCACCAGGTTGTTGACGTTGTACTCGGCGGACGGCGTGCGGGCCAGGCTGCCCTGCCACTGGGCCTCGGGGATGGAGGTGCTGAGCCAGCGTGCGGAGCGGGGCCGCGGGTCCCGGATCACCTGCGCACAGGCTGCTGGTCAGCGCCAGGTGCTCGGCCACTCCCGCCCTCCCGGGCCCCAGGCAGCCCCGGGGGTGGCCGGCCCACCTTCTTGAGCTCCCGCAGCAGCGAGGGGGCGATGCCCTCCATGAAGTAGGAGTGGAAGGCCAGGCCGCCCGTCCGCACCTCCTTGGCGAACACACCTTCCTGTCGCAGCTGCTCCACGAACTCGGACACGGAGGCCTGGGGAGAAGAGGCGCGGGTGACGGGTGTCCTGGGCCCGGCAGAGCCCGCCCGGAGGATGGGAGGGACTTGAGGACCGGCCTCGCCCCAGCGCCCACCTGAGGTCCCGAGATGGTCACCGTGTCCTTGGAGTTGTGGCACGCGGGCACGACGCCAGGGGGGCAGCGCCGCTTACACTCCTCCCAGGACAAGCCTGTGGGCAGAGAGGCCTCAGGGGCAGCACTAATGACCCGCTCAGTGATTGCAGCCGCGGAGAAGCAGCCTTTACAGACCTCCCCGCCCCCGCCACGTCTCCTCTCAGTGGGGGTGTCATTACTGCCAGCCCACGGCCTCTCTCCCTCATCACGACACCCAGGCCCCTCCCTGCCTGTGGAGGGAGCCAAGGCGAGTGACCCTGACACCCCAACTTTATCCTAAGTCGTGTGGGTCCTCGGGGAGGGGGGGTTCTTGTCCCCACGTGGGTTCAGCTCAGGCTCCTGGGAAAACCGCACTGATGGCCACCAGCCCGTGTACGGGCACCATGCCCCTGGGCAGCACCTACCCACGGCTGCCATGGCCCCCGGCGGGATGTGGGCCTCCTTGATGCACTGGCCACGCCAGTAGGCGGCGAGCACAGCCTCCTCCTGCGAGAGGCAGCCGTCGGCGTAGCCGCAGGCGACCTCGCCCAGGGAGTGTCCGATGATGCCGTCCGGCCGCAGGCCCAGGCTGGTCAGCAGGTCTATGAGGGCGATCTGGGGGCAGACGTGTCACCTGAGTCCTGGGGAGGCCCCGGCAGGTCCAGGCCCCGCCCTCCGCATCCCCCTCCCCCCGACCCCGAGGACCGACCTGGATGGCCGTCAGGCTCACGAAGGCGTTGACGGTGTCGTCGAAGGTGGCCTCATCCGTGCTCAGCAGCAGCTCCGAGACCTGCAGCCCCAAGGGCTTCACGACCTCGTCGGAACGCAGGATGGAGTCCCGGAAGCAGGCCAGACGCATGAGGCTGAGCCCCATCCCGCGCCACTGCGTGCCCATGCCTGAGGGCGGGAGGAGTCAGGCCCCGGCCACCCACCCTCTGCCCCCATGCCCAGCAGGCCAGGCCAGGACTCACCGGAGCAGATGAACCAGAGCGGGCGCTGCCCAGCGGGCACCTGCTGTACCTCCTGCCCGCTGTCCTCGCCGCCCAGCACGGTGCAGCCCCGGAAGGGCATGGCAGTGACGGGCATGGCCGCGATGTCGTTGAGCATGCTCACGAAGGCCAGGTTCTGGCTGTGCTGGCGGCCCTGCTCCAGCAGCCCCTGCACGGCCTCAGGGGTGCGGCCGCTGGCCAGCAGCAGGCGGGGCAAGGCGGCGTGGGGGGCGGGCGTGGGGGGCGGGCACCAGTTGGGTCGAAGGATGACGTGGACGTTGGAGCCGCCAAAGCCGAAGGAGTTCATGGCCACGTTACCCCCGCGGACGGGCAGGGGCCGGTCCACCACCCGCAGCCGCCCATTGTGCAGCGCTGGGATCTCGGGGTTCGGGCTGTGGAAGTGCAGGTTGGGCGCCCAGAGCCCGTGCTCCAGGGACAGCAGCACCTGTGGGCGGCGTGTCGTCCTGAGACCCCAAGGCAACCCACAGCCCTGCTGCTGTCTGCACTGCCCCCCACACCTGCCCCACCTCAGCCAGGCCCACCACCTCCCAGGTGGCTGTGGGCCCGGACACCCAGGCCCCTGACCAGACCTGTCCGGCTTCTGACACGCGTGTGGCAGAGGGCGGCCACCTGCCGGGAGCCTGTTGCCCAGGAAGCGCCCACACCCAGGAGCCCAGCGATGGTGGTCAGGGTTACTCAGGCCCCCACGGCTGCTCAGGAAGCTGAGGGGTGAGCTGCCCACCTGGGGCTGCCCCGGCCACTGCCTGCAGCCCTGTGGGGAGGTGCCCAGCGGCGTGTCGGGCCCCCCAGAACCAGTGCATAGACCAGGCACAGCGCCCCGCAACCCTGCCCGAGGGAGTGCCCACCTTGGCCAGTGCGGCCAGCCCCGAGGCCGGCTCCGGGTGCCCCATGTTCGACTTGGTGGACCCGATCAGCAGGGGGTCCTGGCGGGTGGCACACAGGGCCCGGTCGATGCCATTCAGCTCCTGGGGGTCGCCCACCTGTGGGGGACACAGGAGGGTCAGCCTGCAGCGGGCAGTCCGGGCGCGGGCACGGGCGCGGGCACGGGGCCTCACCTTGGTGCCGGTGCCGTGAGCCTCGATGTACTCCAGGGACTCGGGGGCCACGCCGAACGGCTCGTACAGGGAGCGCATGAGCTGCTCCTGGGCCTCCCCAGAGGGGAAGGTCACGCCTGCGGAGAGGAGGGCCAGCTCAGCACCCCTCCCCGGCCCCGGCACCCCCGCCCGCTCTGGCCAGTGCCCACCTTGCTCCTTGGCGCCGTCGGTGTTGGTGCCGGAGCTCAGGATGGTGGCGTACACGCGCCGGGCCAGCGACTTCTTGGTCAGCAGGACAACCACCACGGCCTCCGCGCGGCAGTACCCGTCCCCTGAGGGCAGAGGGCGGCTCAGGTGGCAGGCAGGCGAGGCGCCCGCTCTGGCCTGGGAGGCGGGGAGGAGGCTGCCCGCGCCCGGCCCGCGCCCTCACCCGCCTGGTCGAAGGACTTGCAGGTGCCCTCGGGGCTGAGCATGCCCAGCTTCATGAACTGCACGGAGGTGTTGGGCTTCAGCAGGACGTTGATGCCGCCCACGAGGGCCGCGGGGCACTCCCCGCTGCTGATGGCCTGGTAGGCGTTGTGCAGGGCCAGCAGGCTGGAGGAGCAGGCTGTGTCCAGGGCGACGCTGGGCCCTGCGGCCGAGGTGGAGTGGAGTGTGAGGTGAGCCCGCTGTTCTCGGCCTCACCTCACAGGGGCGCCCGCCCACCTTTGTTAATTTTATTTTACTTCAATACATTTCTTATTGACTTCAGAGAGGAAGGGAGAGGGAGAAGCAGAAACATCAACGATGAGAGAATCACGGATCGGCTGCCTCCTGCACACCCCACACTGGAGATCGAACCCGCAACCCAGGCACGTGCCCTGACCGGGAGTGGAACCCTGACCTCCTGGTTCCTAGGTCAACGCTCAACCACGGAGCCGCGCTGCCGGGCGGGGCACCCACCTTTGAAGTTGAAGAAGAAGGAGAGGCGGTTGGCCATCATGGCTCGCTGGCAGCCCACCATGCTGTAGCCCACGAGGGTCTCGGGGTCTCGGCTGAGAGCCTCGGAGGCCTCAGAGCCGCTCACTCCCACCCAGACACCAGTGTTGGTCCCTCGGAGCGAGGCCGGGTTGATTCCTGTGGGAGCAGCGTCAGGACGCCGGCCGCACCCTGCCCCCCACCCAGCTTTGTGGAGGGGACCGTCTTAGCCGGCCAGAGGGACTGGGTGGGGCCAGCCCAGGTAGGGCTGAGAACAGAGAACCAGGAACCAGGTCACAAGAAACTGGGGCCTAATGGGGACGGGGGGGGGACGGGGCTAGGGGGGGCTCCAGGCTCTGGGTCAGGCAGCGGCCAGAGACAGAGGTGAAGACAGAGGGCAGCATTGTCCCCAGGCTACTCCCCTGGCCCCTGGTGTCCCTGGCGGAGTCTGGTGAGCCCCAAGGGCCAATGAACACCCAAGACCCAAGGGCGCCTGCCTGGGACAGGCAAGATAAGGAGACAGAGGGAAACAAAGGCCGAGTGTCCAGGCTCCTACAGGAGGGGCCCTGACCGGCCCCAGGGGAGCGGCATCCAAGGCCCCTGGGTAGGGCCCGGGCAGCGAGAAGGCCATCAGGTCTGCCAGCCTCCCGCCCCTCCCCAGGCATGTGTCTGTGCCCTGTCCTGCTCAGTGTCAGGCCAGGGGCCGGCTGGCACCTGCTGACCCAAAGACAAGAGTGGGGAGCCCCCAGGCTCCCCATCAGGACCGGCCAGCCACCCCTTCTCACGGGCAGGTGGGCACAGCAAGGACAGGTCTGAGCCCCAGGACAAGAGCCATCTACCTCTGGACCAGACTCAACCCAGGGCAGGAGCCCAGCACCGGCCCTCACCCCAAGACCAGTTCTCTGATGGGAGCAAGGAAACTGGGGCGCCAGGGCACGCCCAGGACACCGCGGGCCAGTTGTGAAACCAGACCTGCCCAGGGGCCCACGCCTCCCGAACCTCGGGCCTGGCAGTCCCAACCAGGGACAAAGGGAGCCCCGCTCGGTCCGCCTCCTGGGCCGGCTGCACTCCGTTTTTCTCTGAACATGTCCCTTTTAGGAGCAAAGGACCCGAGAACAGTGCTGCCCGTGTGACCCCAGGTGGGCCATGGGCCCCCCAGCGACCCACCTCCGTCCACGATGGCCTCGTAGGCGACCTCCAGCAGCAGGCGCAGTTGGGGGTCCATTGTGTGCGCCTGCTTGGCGTGGACCCCGAAGAAGGTGGCGTCGAACTTGGACAGGTCCTTCAACTTGCCGGAGCGCCGGGGCAGGCCGTACAGTCCTGCAGACACGGCGGGGGGAAGACACCGCTGTGGGGCGTCAAGGCCCAAGGGACCCACAGGGAGACGGGGGCTCCCCAGGAGGGTGGGCAGTGGCCCCAGAGCGGTCTCCTCCACCCCCCCTGCCCTGGTGCAGACCCTCCGCCGGGCTCTGTTGGGCTGGGCTCCGTGCTGACTCACACCCGCGGATCAGGTAGAACTGCTCGCGTGGGAGCCGACCAGGCGTGAGGGAGTCAAACCAGCTTCCCCAGAGCCAGCTCTTATCTGACCTCAGACACGCAGCCCCGGGCCCGCCCTCCCGCCCCGGACCCCCGCTGGGCACCAGCTGTAGAAGGGCCAGCGCACACCAGGAGCGACCTCAGCCTCCACAGCCGGGGCCCAGACCACACTCGGGCTCCATGTCCAGGGAGAGTCGGGCGCCGGGCAGGCCATCACTCACCGGCCTTCCACCTCCTGTCATCGTCCGTCACCATGTCCACACCACCAATGAGGTTGTCCCAGAACTCCTGCAGGTTCTCCGACTCGGGCAGCTTCCCCGATATGCCAGCAATCACCACCTCCTCCATGATGCTCTCTGCGGGCCCAGGCACCGGTCAGCTCGGCCCACACCCGTCCACAGCCCCCACACCTCCCCAAACCCCACAGTACTCGCCCTCCTCAGCCTGCCCGCCCGCCCCCTCCGGTGGGTCAGAGAGCAGCAGCTCTGAAAGCCCCAGACCGGAGGCCAGATGGCTGGACGGATGTCCTGGGTGTGAATGTGTGTGTGTTGGCGGGCGGTCAGCTCTGACCCAGCAGGTCCTCGCCTCTTACTGGGCCTTGGCAGAAGCTGTCACATCTGGGGCCCAGGCCTGGGGTGACCCCACCAGGGCCTGCTGCCTGTGCCCACCCCTTCCAGCAGTCGGTGGCCTCTGTGACCTCCGCTGTGGTGCCCTCAGGAGGGCCACCCAGAGGAAGGCCCAAGCCCTTCCCGGCCTAGGAGCTGGCCCAGGGAACCAAAGGAGAAAGGGCACCAAAGCCTAAGGGGGGAAACTTGGGGGATGGGGAGGCCATGACCCACAGAGAAGCCCTGAGCTCAGCACCCCACGCTGCCCGCCATGCTCATGGCCACCGAGGGCAGGCAGAAGCTGCCAGGACTCAGGAGGGACCCAGAGGACAGCAGGGCACTGTGGGTGCCAAGGCCTGGCAGGGCTCTGGGGGAAAGGTGGCCGCCTGTGCCACATGTGGGCCAACCTGGGGCACCTTTCCCGGTCGGGTGCCAGGCCAGTGCCACCCAGGCCCATGCACCTGTGTAGGGGAGGCCGCGGGATTCTGCTCGCTCGCCTCCAGGCAGCCGGCCTGCCTGCCCATCCAGATCCAGGTCCCCAGGGAACCTCCGAGGGAGCCCCACCCCCTGCCCCGCACTCCCAGCTTGTGGGCCTGGGCCGGGGATCTGTGTAGCCCCTGAGGGGGGCCAAGCCAGGGTTGGTCTAGCAACTTCGTCAAGGCCCAGGGCCTCCTGATGCTCGTGACCGCTGGACACGCAACCGCTGGGGCCTCCCTGGTCTGAGCAAGGCCGGGCGAGCGCAGGAGCGGCGGCTTCCTTGGTGGCCGAGCGTCCGCTGTCGGGAGGACGGGAGCCCCCTCCCCCAGCGCCGAATAAAGAGCCCTTTGCCGGCCCAGGGCACCAGCGCGGGGCGGCCGCTTCCTCCAGAAAGCGCCGGCTCTGTTCTCCCTACTTGCTATTCACGCCGAGTGCGGCGGAGGCGGGTGGGGGTGGGGAGGGGACCCCCGCAGCGCGCCCCGCCCCGCCCCGCCGCACGGGCTCAGCCCCCAGCACCTCCGGGGCTCGGCGCTGCGCCCACGTGGTGGGAAAGCCGGTCCCCGCCCGGCTCCCGGCCTCCCTCCCGGCCCTCCGGTAGCTGAAAGGCGCCCCCGGGTCGGGATGGGCCTCGGCCGGCAGTCGAAGGGGGGATGCCCCGGGTGGAGGGGCCCCATGGAGACCTTTGTGGGCGCGCACGGGTGGCGGGGACTCCCCCTGCCTCGGCCCACCCCGCGACCAAAATGGCTGTTCGCGGAGCTCCCGGCCCTCGCATCGCCCACCTCCCCACGGCCTGGGGCGCGGCGCGCAGGCCCTTAACCGCCCGCCCCGGACGCTCGCATCAGACGGCGCGGCCACGCGGGCAACCCTCCTTCACCGCGGGCAGCCCGAGCGCCCCGCGGCCGAGGGTGCAGCCAGCGGCCTGCCCGACCCCCGATCCCAGCCCCCGGTCCCCGATCGCCGGGCCCCGGCCCTGGCCTGGCCCCGGCCCCGGCCCCGGCCCCGCCGCAGTACCTGGTCTAGGCGCGGGCGCAGTGCGGGCGGCGGGGCGAGGATGCAGCGCGGAGGAGGCGCCGGCGCTGCGTCTC